CAAGAAAGTCAAAAACATTACAAGACACATGTCCTAGTATTCGCATATGAGAAAGATTTGGATCAGTCTAACTGTTTAGAAATGATCTAGATTCTAAATAAGAGTGATGACTATGATAGAAAGAACACAGCTGATCTACAACCTCTTAAAATTCAAGCACAATAGGGACAATATCCACAAATAAGGATCTTCACAAAATGTGACTAGTTATCCATCAGACATATAAAAGAAAAAGACTAGTTATCTGTTATCCAGCAGAAGGAACGTGTATTTCAGTGGATACAAATGATAAAACCAACTCATTTGGTTTCATCAAAACGCAGAAAACCATGACCTGTGAGTTATTCCACAATTAGTACAAGGAAAGCTTTTAAATCCCTCTCATCACCACCAACCCCACCCAAATCTCAGAATTTTTTCCAATTCCAGACATAAATTCAGTATTTCTCATCTCATAAAGTCCAGTCTTAAAACTAGAACACTTCACTGTTAAATATAATATACTAATTAATAAGATAATTACAGCTCTCAATCTATCTGAACACGATGACCCCCAGTGACATCTATTTGTACAATTAGTAACAAAAAGAATGCTTAGTAGTTCATTTACTGTTAAACATTTAACTGAAAAAGGATGAGAAGGCTCCACTGGGACTGGGTAGACCAGCCATGTTCTCTCAGATAGAGTAGAGAAGGAACTAGGTAGTAGGTACTACATAGGTCAAGAACCTTACCTCTGTTAAGAGTTCGGTGTCATCCATGGAATGAAGATCCAGCAGCCCAGCTCCGAAGTCTCCTCTGAACTCAGGAGAATAAAGGTCATCCGGTGATCCAAACCCTCCTGGACTTTGGGCTGTTGGAGTATATGGATCAGAAGCAGATTCGCCATTAAGGTTCAGGTTTCTCATCAATTTGAAAAGCCTTTGTTTCTCTTCCATAGACTGTGCTCCGTATCCCTTCAAACAGTATTCAGGCTTCAAAACTCAATATGCAACATCCAAACAAAAACTAAGATAGACATACTAAAACCCGCATGGTAAAGAACCACAAGAAAGATAAGGCAGGTGAATTGGAGAGAAAATGATCAAAATATTGTTGTGCAAATTGAACTCCGTGATCTGAACTCTCAGTTGCCGGAATTGCAACTAAGGCCGATGGAGTTCAGGAGGAAACCATATGTTGTCAGATATAATTAGAATTAAGTGGAGAAATGGAGCAATGTGCAATGTTTGTATATCAAGGCATTCAATATAACCAGACTAGGGGGAGGGGTAAACCAAATAAAGAAAAAGTCTCTCAGGTACTACAGCAAGACATACAAGGACTATTCAATTTGACTAATACCACAGCGTAAAATCTAAAGACAATGAGTGCACATCTGAATATACACATGATTAAAGTTTTACTTAAAATCTTGTATATACATAGTTTTCCAGTCTGAGTCAGTGGAGAACATACATCCCCCCTTGCTTATGACAACTTCTAATTAAACATTAACAGGAAACAAAGGTGGTTATGAAGTATGGTTTCAAACCTGCATAAGCAGGTTCGGAAGCAGACGTTGATCCACGCCAGTAGATGCCAAATGCTGTAATCCAGCAGACTGAAGCCATCGCGCCATGACGGCATCTCCAGCATCACCAGCAGGGCCGGCATTGCCTGAGTGATCATATAGAGCAGTAGCCATTGTATTCCTCTGCTGCGTCTGACCACCCATGTGGCGCTGTGATCGGCGTTGTGGAGCCAATTTCAAAATCTGTAATTCACTACTTTAAACAACAGCAGGAAAGTTCAAAAACATCAAAATTATGCTATCAATCACAAAAAAAAAAAATGAAGAAGAAAAAACTTGTAGATTATGATCCAGGGTGCTTACAGGGAGGAGAAAAGTCGAAATCAAAAGCTGCACATTCACGTGCTATCACGTGTAAATCCAGCAAAGCTGAAAGCAACCGTAAACCAATCGATTTCCACCTAAATTCAAAAAAAAAGTGTTCACGATTCGAATTTCAGCACTCCAAATCTCCTAGTTCAGAATGAATCATAGAATAATACGACAGATGATTATACCGAACCTTTTGCATTTGCACTTTTGAGTTTTGAGAATTCAAACACACAAACTACAACTTCACAAAATCCGATACAACGAACTATTCCTAACATAGAAATGAACCAATCTACGCGAATAAAAACTCAAACACACAGAACAGAACCAAAAGCATTGTAGAATCGTAAAATCAAAATTATAAAGTACAACTCCGCATGCCTACAGTACAACCATACATAACATAGAAACGAGCAAATCCACGCAAAAGAAACAAAAAATCAAACACATAGAATCATCAACATTCTCAGTACTTTTCTAGCGATCTACAAACAAAACTCAAAATTACAAAGTACAACTTCTAAAGCCTACAGTACATCAATCCACAGCATAAAAACAAACAAACAAATCAACACGAACAAAAAAAATCAAAAACATTTTCAGTACCTATAAATAGAGTAATTCCGGCGATTCTGACAATTCCGGTGATGCCGGCGATCCTGCAGAACTTTCCAGAAACAGATCTGAGAGAAATGTAGATAAAATTAATCGCTAAATTCTATGAATTCGAAGAAGGAAAATTGCATTAAAGCAAATGATCATACAAAAACATATTTTTCTACCTTTTTTTCTGATAGCGAAATAATATCTGTATTAAGTTTTTATATATAATCTGTGTCTGTAAGTTGTGTCCATTTTATATAGTTGAAAATATAAAAAGATAGAACGGCTAAATTTTGAAATATTTTTTTGATGGACTTATATACCCCTACAAATGATTATGAACTCATTTGTAATATATTTTAAATTTTTTATTTAGTGTTCGATAAAATCTAGATTAAATTTTAAATAAATATTGTAACGCTTCTGATCTAAGACATTTGATTAAAGAAAAAGATAATTTCAAAAAAATAAAATAAAAATTAATATGGTATATAGATAGATATAAGAAAGTTATTCAAATGTTTTCTTTTTATATTTTTGGTCTTTTCCAAGTGGACAACAGATAATTAAGATATGTTTTAAAAGCGTTTAATGATAATTCAGATAAAAGATTCGTTTACGATGAAGCTCAAAAGATCGAGATACATTAGGGTGTATTTCACTTTATTTTGTATATAAAGTATATATAATGATTAAAATTACTCCAAAGCAAAACATGCTATATATACATTATTCCCCTTGTGATAAATTTGTAGATGACACCACAAAATTTCTTAAACATATGAAGAAAATATTAAATGTTACTAATGTAGTACAATATACAAAATATGAAACATCTAGATTGATTCAAAAATACATCCAAACACAACTTTCTTTCCCCTTGGAGCATTCAATGTCAACAAATCATCGGTCCAACTAATTCAGATTTATATTGTTGAAAGTTTATTATGGAGTTCTTAGTGCTTCATATCGAGAAAACCTCCATTCTGATTAAGATGGAAAGAACGTATGATGTTCCACCGCCTATATTTCAAACAAGTTAGGGTCGATGGGAGACACCAAACTCTCCACAAAAGTTCCAATACTATCAAACCTATCAAGAATTCCATCAACTTCCAAGTCCCTTGATCTCTCTTCTTCCAAATTATACACCATCAACTTCTCCCCATCCACATTCACCACAACTTCATCATCTCTTATAAAACACAAAGGTTTCAAAAAGTCATAAAAATCAATTCCATCAACACAAAACTTTGTCCAAGATTCCTCCACACCATACTCCTTCATCATCCAAACATCAATTCTATTACCATTACCCTCTAGATAATCAACAGCCATACAAAGACATCCTTTAAGCACCACAAGTTTATTGAACACAAATTTACCTTCATCGAGACTACTAGGAGCTACAACTTCAACAAACTCCTCATCACTCAACACAAAAGCACCAATAACAGATACATAATCTGGCTTTTTACTAGCTAACCAATGCAAAGCACCATTCACAAAAACACCAGAAGCAAGCTCAGGAACAGCATGATCATAAGGTGAACTCTTAATCCTCTTCCAAGATCCAACTTTTAATGAGTAAATATCCATAAACATGTCTAAAACATCAGGCTCATATTCATTATCATGGTCATAACGAGAAATCACAACAATCTTATAGTCATCATTAACATAATCATACCCAAATCCATACATACTAAAACTACCAATTGGATCAAGAGCAAAAGGGGAATTTGGGATTTTCTTGAAATCTAGGGTTGTGGGGTTTATAACAACTTTAGAGTCATCTTTATTCAAAATCAAGACCAACCCATTACAAGATCCACAAATATCAACAAATTGGTCACTTGGGGTTGGGTTAATATTGATGGAATTTGAAAAAACACCATTGTTTTTGAAGGTTATAGTTTGAAAAGAGCCGGAATGTGATAAAAGAATGTGTTTTTGAGGTTCTTGAAAGTGGATAATACTAGTGAAGTGAGCTTTGAGGAATTGTTTATTAGAGAGAAAAGAATTTAATGGATTTGATACACACCTTAATTGGCCTATGGATTTTGCAGGTAATCTGCAGAAGATGTTGATTAAGAGCTCTTGAGGGAGATGACCTCCATTGAAGATGGACATTTTCTTTTGTTCTTTTGAAAAGATTGAGTGAGAAATGGTTGACTAGGTTTTGGCTTGACTCTCTTAGTTTTTGCGACTAGTAGTACATTGAAAAGGACAACTTAAAGTTGTTCACAGACTATACGAGCATTTTCATTTTTGTAAAATTGCAAATAACCAGATTTATTAATTTGAACAGAACTTTAAAGGCCCAAATATTTTCTTCGAATATGAAAATAATGTTGATATCGGCCTATGTTGCTTGAATCCTCCAACAAAAAAACAATGTCAAAATGACACTGCACTCATATCAGATCATCCAAAAACACGTCGATAGTGCAGTTATGACTTCTTCTTTTTTTGAGAATCCGAGCAATGTGAAACCCACACAAACGTTATGTGAAATTGGAAAACTGAACCAGTTGAGTAAAATAACTACTGGACAGGTCAAATAGCCACCACTAATATCATTTCAGAGTTTAATTTGTAAGCATTCAACACTGGAGTCTGCAGCTGTTAATAGAAAAAGATGTACTTGATGGAAATTAGACTAAAACATTCATGCATATCACATATGCAAAAGCTCGTCTTCGATGCACATCTTTGGAGTTGAATTTTAACATCAAAGAGAATGTAGCTCATTAGGGGAGGGTGGTTGCATTAGGATTGATCCGTCGTCATCTCGAGATGGAAATTGCATGTCCTGTTCAAGATAGAAAAAGGTAAACTTGAGCTCTCACTAACAGTAATAAGGTTAACAAAGAAACCTTGTTTATAAGCTAAAAGCAAAAAAAAATAAAATCCTCTAAGGTCCAAAAGCACAAATAAAGCTTTGGCTCAAGTGAGAGAAAGCACAACTGGAATGAAATTTCAATTGTTTCAAGTGTTGCCTCTCTTCATGAAACGTTCATTCGCAGGGAAACTGTCTTAGAGCCTCTATACCAATATTGAACTGCAGATTAAGTGCGGTGAAGCGCTCAATGTGTTTTGAGCCCTGCTTCAGGTTTAAATGAACTTTAAGCACGCCTTTGACAACACTGCTTATAAGTTATAAGCCAACCTACAATTTAAGCTTTCAGAGAAGATAGTCGCAAACTTCAATATGCTATTAGAACATGCAGAGTTCCGGAATTCAAATATCCAGTCACCCATTGGCAAGAAGAATCATCATGTACTTTGTAAAGGAAAAAAGTTGGGATCGCACATGATGGAGCATTGCAGACCAAGTAAATAAGGTGGCTGCTCGTTCACGACATAGCTATTTTTAGGTTCAAAAGAATTTAGTAAGAATCTCTACACCTCAAATAATTTCAAATCACCACTAAAAGCTTATGTAAACCTAGAAAACTTAGTGGGAGAGGGGCAGAAAGGGGGTTGGGGGGGGGGGGGTGAGACAGTGAAAATTGTGATTATGAAATCTGCAGTACCGATTGTAATAGCTGACTAGGATTTTGATCCTGTGCTGCTGAATATGACTGGGGCTGGGACATCCGGTAATATGGTTCCTTCAGATCAAGTTTAACAGATGATGTTTGGAGCATATCTCCAACAAGAGCTACACAAATTAATGACATGTTAGATTCTTGAAGAAATATCAGCAATCTTGACTTGACAGGCACGATAGACATGTCGCAAATAACCATAATAAAGAACTACCTGACAATGTCAGGTAAATGGTATAACTTTGTGCCTTGTGGGCAACTAGGTGAAGCCGGCCAGTTATCTCCTGTCCTGGCATGACATAAAGTGGTTGTGGTAAGACACACCGAAGCTGATACCAGTGAGTTGTTGGTGCACCCGGAGCAGTGGTCAGCCACCTTTGCACAGTGCTGCAGAAAGGGGGAAACAATTTAGCAACAAAAGCAAAAAGACCAAGTACCAGAACCAAGGTGATGAAAGACAACAAAAGTTCACCTTCCATTAAAAAGTACATCAAACCAGCAAGCCAGCCCATGAATTCTAGTGCTAACAGTTGAGAGAAACCTCAACGGGACGTCAATTTCATATAGATCTTCTTCCTGTAATATAGATGCAGGAAATATCATTTCATAGAAACGTTATGTTACAACTTACAACTACTTTTGTATAGAGTTTAATGCCCACAATTTGTGTTAGACATTCAACAAATCTGATAACCCACAGTCGAGTAATTTCACTTCAGCTAAATCTTCCTTAATTAACACCAACAAAAAAATTTGCTTATTTCCTTTATATTTTAACCAAGTGATCCTTGAGTCAGTGAAGTGTGATTTTTCTCAAACATCGCCACCCTTTACTGGATAGTGTTTTTCCTGTATTAGAAGGAAGGGGAAAAAAGGAATAGAAGGCCTGCTAAGAATGAGGAACTCAACAACTTCATTTTCACATCCTAGAGAATAAAATGTTGATTGATACCTTCACCGAACTGAAGTTTATCACATGGGACACTGCAGGAGCTACCAATAACCTAGAATCAAAAGCATCAACAACTGGCTGCAAAAGGACAAAAATATCCAAAGAGAACGGAAAAAAAGTACGAGTCAGAAGCATGCATACCTCGACCAAAACTTTTATCTAATATTTTCAAGTTTGGACTAAAAATCACAAAAGATACACAAAATCTTTGGCTAACAAGTATGTCTATTACAAATCTTTTTCCTGAATAAAGTACATCTATTGCATCTTGGAGGCCAACTTATTACATTATATGCAACTAGTTTATTGCATTTGAATAACCAATTAATCCGTTCACCATTTCAGTATCGTGAATAGAACAAAATAAGTAGACCTCCTACCATATCTTCGCATTGAACCAAGATAATACCCCACAGTAACGTTTTTTTCTCAAGTCTTATGTAGCATATTTATTGATTAGAAACATCTTAAACATTAAGTTAGAACCTAGTAGGACTATTCTCTAACAAGGGTAGTAACCTAGCATAAATAATCAGAAAAGTCCACTCTTGAATAGTTTAAACTTCTTCATGATACATTTTATAGATATTTTCCTTTCAACCCTCAAAAAATCTACTGTTTCTCTCCTTCCAAACTGACCAGCAGACACATGTAGAGTGGGTATTCTAGAAAGACGGAAATCAAACAAAAGCAACACTACTGAGACACAGTCTCATATTCTGAAGATACCATAATACAATTGGATATTTTAGATAGACTGCATATTTAAATGTACAAGTAACTAATAAATAAGAGAACTCCACACCACAGGAAAATGAAACATTCAAGAAAGCTCTAAAAGTGCTGTTCAAGTCAAAGTGAAGTATTCAGGGACAAGAGAAGTATGGTTAGTAAAACCAATCCAAGAGTTCCTAATATAGAGGATATTGACCTGAGAAAAGTATCCTTGGTAAGCAGATCCGTGCAATGGTGTCAAATCAACCCCAAAGTAGTTTTGCTGCTGCCAAAAGGTAGCCTAGACCGCAAGGAATAAAAACAGTATTAAGGCATTGACTCGCAATTGAAAAAAAAATGTAAACAATGGTCAGTAAATCATATCACCGAGAAGGAAGACACGAAGTGCATAAAAGCAAAATAAAACCAAAGTCCAAACTATCAGACATTTGTAGAAGTTAGTGGTAAATGCTAATGGTAAACGGATACTGATTTTGGACAATGAGATCTTTGTCAATAAGCTTCGCCTGAATAATTGATTCTTGTTAAAAAAAAAAACATGAAGATCTAATAGACATCCATGGTGTCTGTGAAGCTTGAATACCAAAAGTTCAATTCGTCACTGGTTTTAGATGGCATTCAATTTGTTTCTCTTGTTCTCCTTTTATCTACCTAGCCACTGAAGTTCATAACATATTCCGTTAGCAATTGAGGTCTTATTCATTTAAGAGCAAAAGATGAACAAAATATCAGTGTTTTTCATGGGCAAAATGCAAAAAGAATTGTTACAGGAGTTCTACAATGCATCAAAGAAAATTTTCAGATTCTTCTCTAGAAACACCATATACAAACAAATACTATCCACAACAACAACTACTACTGTGCCTCAACAGACATTTTAAACCATTTGAAACCCTTAATATGGCAGAAAATAGTACCCATCAACCTTCATTCCCTAAAGAGAAGGAACCATGGTTTCTTTCTCTCGGTTGGAAGGGCACCAGAGAAGAAATGATTAATTTTTAGAACAGAACAAACTCCAAGATCAAGAAGAAAAGGTGATATGATCCACTGTATACCTTATTTGCTATTTCCATATACAAATATTCGTCACTAAATGGTGCCATGTGTATTCTACAAAAGTAAAAGGAAACGTAAGCAAAAAAGATAAGAATGGCATTTCCAAGACAAAACAGATGAAAGGAAAATAATAGAACGGTTGTATGCAAGTTTATGTAATGCATGTTCAAGACACTTGATGGAATTCATGTAGAAATATGTAAATGCAACCATAAAGAAGGGTAGGAAATATAAGTTAGATTCAGCCCAAATACTATCGAGTATTGAGTAATCAGGCAAACATGCACGAGAGGGGTAGAAATCAAAGAAAACAGGGGAAATAGTTATACTAACCTCCAACATCCTAAGCTAATCCATCTAAGGAACAAGCAACACTACTTGGTCAAGATGAACCAGAAAACCATTACCAATGTAACTCACAATTGTATTTAACAATAGTATCAATTTCATGTTTTATTCTAAAATAAACAGCACACCCAATATGAAAGAACATAAGATAGTAAGGCAAAAAAAAAACAATGAAGAATAGCAGCTTCATATTTTTGGCATGACAGAGACATTTGAAGGGATAAAAACAAGTAAATGACTGAGAAACAAAACCTTATAAGAAAATTGCAGACATCGTCATCGATTTGACACGGCAAGACTCAATGTGCTTGAGTTAAAAAATAAAATTACCTTCCAACGCCAGGAAACATTTTTCCATTTTGAACAAGAAATCGGTCTCTTGCAATCACATAAGACTCCAACATTCTTTCATTAACTAACAGGGTACCTGTAAGATATAAGCACTGTATTACTCACTCAGCAGGTTTAAGCATGTCTTTTTTGAATATTCTATTCATGGAGTTCTGCTATCCTCGATCAACACATTCTACCCTATATTGGAAGATTGCAAACTTCTTTTCTGCTTGAAACTGAAAAGAGAGCTCAACAAAAGTTATTGTTATTATCTTGATCTTTCATATATTTTCTACCTTTGTAGTATAGGTTCTTGAAAACAGCAAGCTTATCTTATAAGCTTCCCAAATAATAAATATAACCTAAAGTATACAGAATACTCCATCTCAGAAGTTAACATGATCAATCAAACGAATTAAAAACAAAACTAACTAGACAAGCTTACCCATTGGCTCAGAGATTAAAATATCAGCTTTCTCAGGTAACTCTACATCTTCGACCTTTCCTTTGATTACCTAAAAATCCATACATGAAACATCAAAACCAAAAAAAAAACATAAGAAGAACTGCCAAGATATTCTATGAATATGTTGGAAAGCATTAAAAAAGAGGCCGAAAAAGGTGAAAGAACAATCAATCAATCGACTACACCTCAGTCCTGTACAAAGTGGGGTCAGCTTAAACAAGTAAAAGAACACTTACTGTAATTCTGTCATTTAGTGATGGATTTCCAGCAATAAGTTGTCTTGCATAGTCGGCCATTTCAGAAGCCTCTATGGCATATACATGCTTTGCACCAGCCTATGAGGGATTTTTTTGGATGTGAAGAGAGGCAAGAAAAAGAAAAGATACTTGGTAAATATTAGAATAACTGGCTGTGCCAAGGTTGATATCATCCATCAAAAATGCATTGATACAAAAGATCACCTGAGCTGCAAATAATGACAAAATGCCACTACCAGCACCAACATCAACCACTATGCGACCAAGAAAATCAGCACGGTTCTCAATTACAGCAGAATAATAGGTTCCTACAAGTTTTTAAATATGTCAAGTCAAACTCTCCATAATGGGATTCAGCCATTCGATCCTTCAGAAATGCAAAAAGGAGGAGTTCGATAACATTCTAGGAGAAATACAAGACAGCACACCATGATATCGAAGTTCAGAATACCTGTCCTTACGAAATCCTGCAACATATTCTGCTGATGCAATAGCTGTCCATAGTAGTGAAAGTACATTTTGGCAGAAGATGCCTCAATTTTGTCATCAAATTTGCTTTTTGAAGTTGATACTGCTCCATTGTTCAAAGAACATTCTGACAGAAAGACAAAAACAAGTAACATTTATACAAGTCATAATTATTTATTCTTATGCAAAAAAATTCACTAATTACATCACAGATTTCTATTCACGCGTGCAACTACAATAAGCTTCACTCAGTAGAGCAGGTAGACAACACGCCCTTAACTGCAATTGATCTTATGTAATAGATTCATCAAAAATGGGGAAGTTATGCATAGTGAAACATTTCTAAGTTTTTGACAGGAACCACATCACTTTCTTGTTTCTTTATTATTTGCAGTAAGAGCGATTCCCTTCTTATTCACACGAGCTAAACAAAAATCATTAAATATAGGGAAAAGGCTTTAAAATGCCCTTAACCTATTAGAAATGGTTCAAAAATTCCCTCCTTCCCGTTTAAACATAATTATTTTATCAAATAAGAAAACCCCACCCAAACCCGTTTTCAATTGGCACTTCATGTGTTCCTCTGTTCTTTCTTCTACCTTGTTCCTTTCTCTGTTCTTTCTTCATCCTCTGTTTTCTTTGTTTAAAAAACAACTTTCATCCCCAAAGTAGCTAAGTTGCAACGATTAACTTGACAAAAACATAGCTACATTACAGCATGTAGTAAGCTTTTAAGCCCAAAAAACAATAACTTTCAACCCAACAAATAACAATTAAAGTGAAAGCTTGAAAGTTACTGTTTTTGGGCTTAAAATTTACTAAATGCTACAATTTAGCTATTTTTTTGTCAAGTTAATTGCAACTTAGCTACTTTGGGGTAGAAAGAACAGAGGAACGCATGAAGTGCCAATTGAAAACGGGTTTGGGTGGGTGGGTGGGGGTGGGGGGGGTTTATTTGATAAAATAATTGTGTTAGACCAATGAAAAATGGTCATCCGTTTACTTAAATTCCATGTCATATTTCGGTTGGCCAGAGGGTATTTTTGAACCTAAAGAAAACGTTAAGGGAATTTTTAAATTAATAGATGGAAGGAGAGCATTTTTGAACCATTCCAATAGGTTGAGGGCATTTTTAAACCTTTTCCCATAAATATATACTAAACGAAGACGGAAGAACATATATGGAGAATCTCAGCTACATTTTTCAACCTTCCACTTTGTATACCAAGTTTAAGCTAGATACAGTCAATACCTATTTTTTTTCCTTTTTTGATTGATAACATAGTCAAATATCCAAAACCAGCCTTTCTCAATAACGAAGTCAAATATCTAAAATGAAATGAAATTCCAATCTTTGTCGGGATAAAAACAAGTGCTTTAGAAGAACAGAAAAAATGGACCAGTACCCGAACACAACCAATCATAGAAGCTTGAAGACAATAACTAACCAAATGTTTATAACACTGCACCAACTATAAAGTTCCTAATACGGCAGGACTTTTAGCTTAGACAGACATTAGTATTTATCAGTATTGGAGACAGATTAACACACGAAGGATAAGCATAAACAATGTCCAGTAAAAGTAAAGATTCTTTGCACAACACTTCAAACATTCACAGTATGGATCTAAGTAAAAACTGTCACATAGAGAATGCTATCAAATAACTGTTATTTACCACACAAAATCATGAGACTAACATGTCAATAACCACAATATATAGACAACTTCAGAGAATCAACATGCCATTTGAACAAACAAGAGAGTTATTGGAGAGGAGAATGTGGCTACTCCACAAGGTTGCATGGAAACTTGGTACAAAGCATTCCAGACATACACCAAAACAGACCTTCAACAACCACTTCCTTCTTCCATTGCTCAAATGCACAATGGAAGGCCCTACTTTCCTCCTCGTTTCTAAATTGAATGGAGATTCCCCTTGAATGTGATTTCTGGTTCAAAAGACCAAAGTTAATGCATAACCTTAATATTACAACATCAAATTCCAAAAAATAGTGATTTACATAAAATGAGTACCTTTAACTTTTCTTCCAGGAAAAGATAAATGATGTCTATGACAATTGACAAACACACATATTTTTGCATGTAAGCAATTGTCTAATCCTAAAGCAACATGTTATTATTATTATTGCATTGAACATAGATTTGCAGTATTAAATGTTTTCAGCATTAAGCAAAGTAGTGCTTGATCATCTACGCACAAATCTATGTGCATCAAAATCATGCAGGCAGCAAATTCTGATAGATAATCTTTTGATAGTACTGCAATTATAGTAGGTTGTCATCATGGCAACAAATCGAAAAGTTGCTCCAGATTAGGTTTTATTGTTTCTCGCTAATAAAAAAAATGAAGTCGAAGCATTCCAAATGATCTGTTGATGAAACATTCACTAGAATAATCAGCATAAACAAAAGGTAAGGCAACCATCACTAGAAATCCTTACAGGAGTTAACAGGATACAAAATTTATTTGCAGGTAGAAAACAATTAATCAGTCCAACATTATCACATTGTAACACTACCTTCTGAGCTCTAAACCATACCTCTTTATTGGCTTCAGATACGCATAAGGATTCAACAGGACCTAGCTTGAATAACTGGAAAAAAGAAAGGAGATAATCAAGGCTAAGATAATACCCCTCACATACATAACTTAAATTCCTAAGGAGAAACAGTTTAGAATATCATTTTTCACTTTTATTCTTCATTTTCTGCATTTCTTTTATCAAAATCCACTGGTCACTCTGTTTGGTTACTAGTAAAATCCCAGAAAAAAAATTAAACAAATTCATAATATCATCCATGCATTTGAAACCTATATTGCTCAAACTCACAATAAAAGATGTCGCAGCGTGTTGAATCCTTCAAAAATGCACTACTTTTGAAAGATCCAACATACACCCCTCAACATTTTTGATAGTTAGTGTAACATTGTTTTGAAACAACATGTAACCTTTGAGTTAGTAAGAAAATGTGAAAACCAAAACACCACCATTAGTATCACTCCATCCTTTCCCCTAAAAAGGACAACCTGGTGCACTAAAGCTCATGCTACAAGCTGAATCCGGGAAAGGACCAAACTAAAAGAGTCTATTGTACACAACCTACCATGCATTTCTGCAAGAGGCTTTTTCCACAACTTAATCCTTTCCACTCATCCAAACATGGCTTTTTTAGCTTTAAAATATTGATCTCGGTACCATTTTAATGCATTTTCAACATAAACAGTACATTTCTAACAAAAAAAAAGGTTGTAATCCTTTAAACTACTTTTTAACAATTAAAATTGCATTCTACTCTATTTACAAAATTCATAAAAACTAACCTGAGAAATCTTAACATTGAACACCACGGCATCACTCAGCTCTGCACCCTGACCAAATCGGAGCTCCGGCAAACCGGAATCTAAGCTAAACCGAGCAAAAACCGGTTCGGTTTTGGAAAACAACGAAGATGAAGAACTTGTAAGCTCCGATACAGATGAAACCAAAAATTGCTGCTGCTTCTGATTCTCCTCCATTAAAATCAACTGTCAGAACTAAAGAATACCAAAAAATTAACTGAAATTAGGGTTTGTCGTCTGAATCGAAGTGTTGAAGGAGAGAGACGTTAGGGTTTAGAGTAGAGAGTGAAGGTGTAAAAATGGCGCCGCCGCAATTAATTTTTTAATTTTATTTTATTGTTGCTATGTTTTTTATATTTGTTTATAGGAATATACTAAGAAATATAAAAATAGAAAAAATAATAATGTTCTTGTCAAGGAGAATCTACTAATTTACCTTATTAGTTACACTTATTATATTTTTCGAATAGATTGTATTATTTACGTGTTATATAATAAATACCATAAATTAATCATTTGATTGATATTTATGAAAGAAAATATAGCACATGATAGAGTACTATAAAAGGGTAGAATAAAAAATAAAATAGAATTGTTAAATAATAAAATAATAATGTGATTAGATCAAATCGATGATTATATAAAATGAAATTTTTTATCATTACTTAACTATAGATTTAAACGATATAATATAATAAAATTTAAGTAACAATTAAAATAAATATTATATATAAATTAACAATATAATATAATATGATATTAGATTTGAGGATTATAAATTAATATAAAAAGTTAGTATTCATATTAAATATTTATACATAAAAATAATTTACTTAATATATTATTTATGTTATCTTTTTAGCAAACAACACAAAATGCATTATATAAGTGGTAATTACTTGTATCCCTAATTTAAATCACTTAGAATCTAGATGGTGTTGTCTATAAATACAATATATTTCTCTCAATATATATATTTTATCCAGCGAATATATCTCGCATGTTTTCTTTCTCGCTCATTTCTTCCTCTCTCGTCCTTGTATTTCTTTCATACCTTCTTGTATTTGTGTATTCAATATCAAATATACATTAATGTATCTAATAAATTTATGTATATCAATTTTATGCAATGTATCTAACACTAATTTCATATAAATTATAATAATTTTGTGTATTCAATATCAAATATGCATAAATGTATCTAGTATCCTTGTGTATATCAACTTCATCCAATGTATATAATACCAAATTTCATGTATCCATTATAAGAGCTTGTTTGGCTCAGCTTAAAAGCTGGTCAAACTGACTTAAAAGCTGGTTTTTGACTTATTTAGCTGTTTGGCAATACTCAAAACGACTTATTTTAAGTTAAAAAAAACTTATTTTAAGCCAAAAATTAAAAGTAGGGGTAGAGGTGCTTTTCTTTTTCCAGCTTATAAGTTGTTTTAAGTTGACCACATTTTTACTTTTTTGCCCTTACTATTTTTATACAATCTCCAAATTACCACATAACCCTAACATCTCTTTCTTCTATTTTTCCCTTTTCACGTGTGGATGATAGACAATTACTATTACTAATAAATGAAAATAAAATAAATCTTAAATCTTTCGAGTGATCTATTCAAATTATATATTATTAAAATGTAAAATAAGTTGCACATATAACTTAAATAAAAATTTATATTCCTCTTATAAATAATTTGTGATAATAAAGAAATATGTGAATGATAGACAATTATTATTACCTATGGATGAAACTAAAATAAAATCTTAAATTGTTCTTTAATCTATTCAAATTATATATCTTTAAAATCTATAATAAGTTTATATTCCTCTTATAAATAATTTGTGATGAGAAATAAATATGTGAATGATAGCAAAATATAATTATTTATGGTTGTAAGATATAAATTAATTAACTTTTATTATGTTAACAACTTTTAAGGGTGTTTCAGACATTTTGATTTAAAAAGCTGTTTATCAGCACTTATTTGCCAAACACATCAACAACTTTTTTTTTAACTTCAGCACTTTTATCCAAACGCATAACTGCTTATTTTAAAAATAAGTTTCAGCTCTTTCAAAAGTATTTTTTTAAAGCTGATTTTATTAAGCCCATCCAAACGGGCCCTAAGAAATGCACTAATATAAGGGGTATCAAAAATAAGTTCAACTATAGGTAATCTACGCAATCTGTCCAAGATTTTAAGGGTTGGGCTCGAGAAAATTTAAATGAGTTTAATCTCAACCTATTCAAGCTTTAATCCATTTTAAGAGAATTCTCAATTGACCTAGTTTAGTCTCCAGTTTCAACTCATTTTAAGACTCTTCATTTGTATTAATGTAAATTGTAATGTATGTTCCCATATTGAAGAAATGAATTACTATATAATTTATATCTTTAGGATTTACCAATTCATCTGTTATCTCTTTTAAATAAAATTCTTGAGTTGAAATTCAAATTGTGGTTACAAAACTTGTTTAAAAAATTATTGAAGAGGAACTTTCACATATAACCACTCAAAAATAACCTAATTATTCTTCATGGACGTAGTTTGATAATTATAATTCGTAGTTACATGTTATAGGGAAGAGAGAGGCGGGCGAGATTGGAAGAGAGCGGGGAGAGGCGAAAGAGAGAGGGAAAATAATCGGAGAAAGGTAAATTGTATATGTATATCAATTAAATAATTGTATATTATATATATGTATTTGTATATATGGCAAGCGAGAGTGGGAGAGGAAGGAAAGAGGCGAGCAAGATTGGGAAAGGGGGGAGAGAGACGAGCAAGAGAGGTCAGAGAGTGGAAGAGAGGTAAATCGTATCTGTATATTGGTTAGATAATTGTATATTATACACATACATTTATATATATGAAAAACGATATTGGGAGAGAGAGGAGAGGGGCGAGAGAGATTGGGAGATGGAGGAGAAAGGCAAGCAAAAGAGGCTAGAGAGTGGAGAGAGGTAAATTGTGTATGTATATTGGCTAGATAATTGTGTATTATACATATGCATTTATATATATGGGAAGCAAGATTCGGAGAGGATGAAGTGAAGAGAGCGAGATTGGGAGAGGGAGGAGAGAGGCGAGCGAGATTGAGAGAGGGAAGAGAGAGGCGTGCGTGAGGACAAAGAGTGAGAGAAAGGTGAATTGTATATGTATATCGATTAGATAATTGTATATTCTACATACGTTTTTGTATATTCTGACGAATTATACATATACAAACGTGACTAATTATACAAGCTCGAAGTCAGCCCACGTAATCAATGTATAATGTTAGTCGCGAGTGATAATTATAGCAAACTATAGTTATGATGAGCAATTAAGTAGTATAAGTTTGTTTAACCGCGTAATTTTCCCTTTAAATTATTGAGATTAAGTTGGTTAAATTGCGCGGGTTAAGACTGGACTCGCTTTTAAGATCATTTGAACCCAAAGTAAACTAAAATGGATCAAGACCCAATCCAATTTATATTTAATCCATTTTAATATCTCAAATTTCAACCCAACTCTCCCATTTGATACATCTATTATATAATTACATATCATAAAATATACAAGTAAAAATTATTTTATGCTTGAAAAGTTCATTAAAAGAAGTTAAACAAAATTTTTCTCTTATTTATTTCAAGTAAATGAGATTTTCCCCAATAATCTAACCGGGTCGGGTCAACAGTAACCCGCTTGATCATTTCAAAATTCAAATTACCAATCCTTTTTAGATTTCGACCTCCCAATTCTCACCATTTTTAGGGTTTCCAGTTTCCTCTCTGCTAGAAAGCGAATTACAGCAAATCGCTCTCTCTATCATCAGAATTCTGAACGAAAATGGTAAATTCATTTCTCTATCAATTCTAATTTTCAGTTTTTTCTATGTGCACAGTCCACATTAACTGATTAAATCCAAAAATTAAAAAAATAGTATTTGTTGGTATTTTTTCGTTCAGATTTAGGGTTTATATGGACTCCGTGTTTAATTTGTGTTGTGATCTATTCTCTGCTTCTTGTTTGTTGTCGAAAAGGCGAGAAAATTGTTGCATATAATGGGACTGAATAATAAACAAATATTCCTGGTGTTGTAGCATTTGTTTCGGTGTGATTTACTTTAATCCTGTAGAAACATTAGAAAATTATGAATATTAATAATTTTTTTTTTGAGGTGAGGGTGTATGGAAAGAACCTCTCTGTGAGTAGAGAACCTCCCGAGATGCCACATGTGGGATTACACTGGGTTGTTGAAAATTCCATTTTGTTTATTAGAAGTTGAAGCGAATTTTGGTTATTGAGTTGAGTGAGCACATTAAATTAACATGAAGAGCTAAAATTAGAATTATCTATATCCATATTGTTCTACTTGCAGTCATTGCAATTCTCTTTTAAGACAAGTTAGAGCTTCGAGGGTGGTCTATGTTCTGTTTCATTTAGCGAAAGTGGACTGAAATTAAAGCAAGTTTGTGGTTATTGAGTTGAGTGAGCATGTTAAAATAACAAGAGGCAGTTAGACTTTCCAATGACGACTAAGCTTAATCACAACTAGCTGGTATTACCTACTTATTGTATCTAGTCGCTCTCGTAGTCATTGGATAATATGGTTGTGAATGTACTAGGATCTATAATGTGCTGCTGACGTTGCTTTATTAATACAAATGAAAGATTATACCACTTCTGCTATGTCTGAATTAAGAGTATATATTTATGTTTGATGTGTAAGAAGGTGTACCGGGATGCATTCTGCATCATCTAGTTCCTTGAGAAGTTAGAAGTATGGTCCTTGCATTCATTTTTGGAACTTGCATATATTGCTGCTTTGTTGTCACATATTTTTTTTCCGAGGCTACTTTGTACTTCCTTGTCAGGTATCTTTGTTTAGCATTTATTTACTTGATGGTACGATTTCAATTAAAATCCCATGCTTTGAATACTTGGAAAAAGATTACGATAGCAAACTCCTTGAGCCACTTTGTTTTGACTTCCATTCAATTGCCTTGAAGAGTTTAACTTAGTGACAATGCAAGTCGAGATAAATATGTTCAATGCTGATCAAGGGATTGAAAATTTTAACGAAAGTAGTCCATGTGGAGATACAGGTTGGGTCATTTGATTAATTTATCCAGACCCTTCTCCTTTAGCTTTCGATCTGTAGTTTGTTTTATTCAGATGTGTGTTCATCTGTTGCTAAGCTGCTTTAGTGTCACTCTTCTAAACCTAACTATCACAATTTTCTGGCAGGATGGGCATGACGGTGATAATACAAAACAAAGCACTGCTGATATGACTGTGTTTGTAAGTTTTCTGGCAAAGACAACTCTAATTTCTTTATTGATGTTAAGCAGACTAATCTCACTCTCTTGCACTCGTTAACAATCTTAAAGTTTCTAGTCATCTCAATCTGTCACCATTGAATTATTGAAGCACAATTACTTGGAAAGTTGGAATTAATACTTCTTTTTTTTCCTAATAGAATATTACTAGATTGTGTGATCTTTTCATAAACAGATATAATTATGACACGCAACATGGCCCTTTAAAGAACTCTCTCTGTTCATAAATATGGCTTTACCGTGATGCTATTTCCACGACATTTGGTTCAATTTTCATGCACTTGACATATCATGCATTCGAGTAGCTATCCCTTTTTTGGCCTCTAATTATTACTGTTCTTTCCTTCTCTTCCAGGTCCAGAATCTTCTACAGCAAATGGTGAGTCCAGTCACTTTGTAACCCCTTGGATTCTTCACATGTATCAATTATAATTATCAAACTGATATTTTTCTCTTTGCAGCAAACCAGATTCCAGACAATGTCCGAATCAATCATCTCAAAAAATATCCTTTTTTAATTCGATGTTCCCTATCTGATCCATATTTGCTAATATCAGTGTCATCTAAAATGCATTTAGTTATATGTAGCATTTTGTACAACTCTGAATCCTCATATGTGTTAACCAACTTCTTGGCTTTGAGGCTCTTGAGTGGTTCATTTTTTCCAGCTTTGCTGTCTTTCAACTATATAGGTTTGTATACTTTCTGCTGATTCTCCAACATGAGTCTAACCTTCTTTTCAGGGTCGGTTTATCAGTGGGTAGGTTTGCTGTTTTCTTATCTCTCTTGTTGTCAGTTCGCTCTCACGCTGGTGAGAGTTCTCATATTGGAGGGGTTTCATATCAAACTGTTCCGACTATATCTTTTATAGTGTATATGACAATCTACTCTCTTTTATGACATCAAAGCTTGAACAAAAGTGTGTTTAGTCCTTGACAAAGCTGCACTTGACGAAATGGGAAACCGAATTGATGAACTTGAACAGAGCATCAACGATTTGAGAGGTGAAATGGGTCAAGATGGTGCTCCATCGCCTTCCGCATCTTTGAAACCAAAGGAGGAAGCAAAGCCAGCAGATGATTCTAGTGCATAAGCAAGCAATGATACTCCAAGTTGGCTTTGGAGTCAATTGGCCATGTTTGTTACAATTGTTTTGGTTTGAAAATCTTTTCACATTTGTCCATTATGACATTTGATTATAATATGATACATAAACTCTGTACATGGATTCTTGGGTTGAAATATTTTGACCTATGCTTTTGGTCATTGTTGAGGTTATTAAAATTAGGGATGAGTTATTGCCTTCAAAAATGAGGCATATGCTTTAGGCCCCAAAATTGGATAGCCTAAATTTTTTAGCAATAATAGAAAATTTATAGCCTTTTTTAACAAAATATAATCATATATTTATATAAAAGAGAACCCTACACCCGCCTATGTGGCGCCACTGCAAGTAAGAATTTTTTTAAAAATTTATTTATTTCCAAAATTAACATTTCTCTTTCATGAAAAGATGCGATTTTTATGAAAAGTTGTGATTTTAACGAAGAGTTGCGATTTTTTTAATCAAAAGTTGTCACTTTTATAAAAAGTTGTAATTTTATTGAAGAGTTGCAGCTTCTTTCAAAAGTTGTGACTTTTATGAAAAGTTGCGACTTTAATTAAGAATTGCGACTTTGTGAAAAGTTTCGACTTTTATGAGAAGGCATAATAAACATTGCTCCACACTACCATTTGTTGTCTATAAATAGAGGGATTTTCTCTAATTTTAAAATAACAAAAGTTTTGATCTTCTTTTTCTACCTCCGCAAAATTAGATATTCTTGTGCTCTGCTCCAATTGAGTGACTTACTGACATCACTTTTTTTGTATTAATAAGTCGGTGAATAAAATCGTTCTCTTTAAGAGGATATGATTCTTTAAACCTCTGGTTTTAGAGGGAATAGTTTTCTTAAGGGGACATTGTGCGAATTTAACTTTTTTCTTTCTATTTCATTCTATTTTATACATCATGTTATATTTAATTACACTCATTAATTTATGCATATGATATTAATTGTTGTTTTTTTGAGTACATATTTTAAACTCTGTTGTTTATGTTTCTGCAAAGTTATTGTCTCCGATTATATTAAATATATACAAATATAATACGTATATTCATTGTGTAGAAAATAATTATTATACTAAGTTCCAAAAATTCATGTTTTAATACTCTATATTAAATTCTATAACTTAAAAAAGTACTACATATACATTTCTCTGGCGTGAAACTATAATCTAAAAATATACTCTTAGAAGTGGATTTGTTTGAGATAATATTATAATCTATACATTTCTCAAACGTAAAACTATTGAATTCTGTTGAACTCATCCACTCGTAATTGTAGCTGCTGCATGTTCAAAATAACACTATATTTGTGGGTGGATACTAGTCAAGAATGCAGGCACAAGTACTGATTGAAGGACATGCCTAGAGTACTAGACACTAGGGTGGATTATGTACATTATCATACTTTATAAGATTCCATCAACTTTTAATATATGTGATTGACTACTTTAATTGAACTATTTAACATAACAAAACCTATGCTAGGAACTTATATTGTATAGCCTTTGACAAAATTATCTCCAAATGATGTTTGAGTTAAAGTAAGCAGGAAAAATGGTACTCCTTCTGTCCTAGTGTAAGACACTTTTTCCTTTCGATTATCGTCATTATCTGATCGATTATTTTCTACATGATTCCTTTACGATTGTATTTTTTTTTTTACACATTATTGTAGTTTTATTTGAGTTGAGGTTCTATCGAAATCAACCTCTCTACTTTCACTTGGTATGGAAAGTTGTGTACTCCTCGACACACCACCCTCCTCATACTTCACTTGTGAAATTACATTGAATATGAAAGGCATCTTATATTTTGTATGACTTAAACTCTGTGTTTAATCAAATACCACTATATAAATTGTATATTATGTATGGGTGCATGTACATATGAATTCAACTGGACTCGATAACTTTGTGTTATACACAATAGCTCAAATAGCTAGTAGGTTTTGTTGTATCTCTATTTCATAACGTTCAAATCTTAAATCCGTTTCTGAGTGAACATGATTACTTTTAGATTTTAAATGTAGCTCATCCTTATGCTTTAATTATTTTCTCATTTTGGTATGATACTATAATTAGATGATTGATTTTATAACAAGGGAAGTTTGTGGTTGGATATGTACTATTTATTTAATTACCAATTAGAGCTAACTTTGTTTGTTAATATATAACAAACTTGTTATGTGTTTGTCTTATCTATTTTTGAATTATTGAAGGATGATTCATTTTTCCATATACTGAAGTTCATCTCTTTAATTAAATAAAGCTATATAAAGTATCTTTTTCTACATGCTTATGCATGGAATTTAGACGAATTTGCATGAAATTAAATATATTTTGCATATAATTCGGTGTTAAAATCAATAATTTGTACTTTTATAATCCAATGAGATGAATTCATGATTTAAATTTAATAAATTTATATTTTTTAATATTAAACTCATTGTACCGTTAAAATTATAAATTCAAATCTCAAAATCTAGGTAGGATTCAAAGTCATGACGTGTATCTAAACCAATGGAGATTTATTTACTTGATCACTTTTATTTATTGGACAAAAAAGTGTGATTATTTTTTGAATTATATTCAAATAGGATGTTTAACTATTTTTATTAAACAAAATCATTTATGCTTTTAAGCTCTGTATTATCCATTAAATTAAAAAGGGGGAATTTAATGTGAAAGTTATTTTATATGATGCCACACATTTTGTACATGCATTAATAGTAATTAGGCTGTTAATAAAGTAGATTATTCGAATAAATGATCTTTTAAGGCATCCAATTATATGACTTACTGCATACTACTCGCAGGAAAGGTGGAGAATCTTCTTAGCCAATACATCGGTACAGAAGCGGAGACGAATCCAAGATTTAAAAACGAACATAATTGCATTATATTCAATACCTATAATGTCGGTGAGAGATGACTGAGCGGTAAGATTTTAAACTCACAGAATCAGTAGTGAAGCTAGAAATTTTATTAAGAGTGTTCAAGATTTAACGTATATGCATAAAAAAAGGACATTATTTGACATTTATATACAAAATAATTTTTTGATAAAGGGTGTTCAACTGGTCATATTTTCTCGGTTGTAGCTCACTCTGCACAGAAGATTACGCTGAACGACGTAGTCGATAAATAATATGTGAATATTCCTATGCTACCCCTTGTTGGTTTCGAGGGACGGAGGAGGCTAGGTTAGCCGAATAAATCGCCCTAAATCCACTTCTTTATTGAAGTATAGAAGGGTTATGTCCTCTAGAGGTATTGGTAATCTTTTATTAGTTTTTGACCATTTATTCGTAGAAAAGTAATATTTTAACTTATATATCTATTATTATTTTTTGACGAAAAACGTCTAACTAACTATTCTTTTTTGGTTACAGCTAACCTTATATAGAACTCGTTTTATATCTACCTCATTACATTATATAATAATCCGGAGAAGGATGTTCAACTGACCATTCTTCGTAGCTGATGTTAGCTTGCACAAAATGCCCTCTAGATGTTATTTTAATCTTGATTAATTCTTGACCATTAATTAGGGTGATAATGCATGGACTTTTAAGAGGCTCCACACACACATAAAAGCATAAATGCACATAATTTTGTGTTTCCAGCTCAAAGCATGATTAAGTAACAATAAAGAATATGGATTAAGACAAATGTATGAAAGCAAGTCTATTTTACTTTCCATTGTGAATAATTTTGATATTACTTTAAAAAGCATTGATGATATAGTTATTAGGAAAGTGGAATTTTTCTATTTAAAGCTTTTAAAATTGTACAAGAATTTCAAAATTAGAAATTATTGTCATACTTTCATTTCATAAATGATGAATTATGACTTTTAATAGTGAAATTCTTACATAACTCGCTCTCATTTTCCCTATAACCATTGTTCGGATTATTGAAAAATATTATCGTATATGTGTTTAATGTGCTTCGGTTATCATACTAGTTCATTATAAGTTATTGTTCTTTCTTCTGTATGTTATGTACGGCTTTTCACTGTGCTATATTTTGTTTAATTATTATCTTTTTAAACTGCTTTAAGATGATTTACTTGAGTTGAGGGTCTATCAGAAACAACATCTTTATCTTTATGAGGTAGGAATAACTGACAAGTAATGTATACACTCCACTATTTCCGGCCCCCGTTTGTGGAATTACATTGGCTATATTTTTGTTATTGTTGTTAAGCAACATAGCTAATGAGCCAAGTGCTTTTGACTTTCTTTTTTTCCTTTCTTTCGGTAAGTGGTATTTGAGCCAACTTACATGTGCCTCGACTATTGGATTAACTATCAACCATCTTCCACCAGCGTAGGTGTCGGATAACTCTATCATTCAAGTCACCCAAGATTTTCGCCTACTTCGTTGACATTAGGTCACACGCTTGGGTGCCACGTGTGTCTTGACTATTGAGCTAGATTTTATGAACTAATCTCAAACAAGTTCCGAGAGCAACTTACTTACCAAGCTCTAAAAGGATCAATAGATCACACTTTCACGATTCGTATTCATACTGAAAATCAGAATCAAACAAGCTTTTACTATAACATATCACAGGAGATTTTTGTTATCGTGGCTCATTTTGGTTAATTTACGCGTATCGTCCCCCCTGTTGATTCATATCAACAGAATTATACTATGTCTGCCTTCTGACTTGAAAAAATTCCTAAGTAGCTGATGCTATTTATCCATTCAGGATATATTTGATGTATTTACAGTATAGTTTTTTATGTTCAATGTTGTAATCTGAAGATTCTTTGCTACAAGTTATTTAAAAATAGAATTAGATGCATATTGCATTAGATGCCATATAGTGCTATGGCAAAAGAGAATCATCTTTAGTTGAACCCCACAAGCAAGATGCCATAGACTATTTTGAAGTAGTAAACAAGAGAAAGATTTTAAAAAAATAGGCACTTGTTGAGATTTGACTCACATGTTATATTATTTTCTATACACCTCAACACGTCTCCATTGTGTCAGTTCAACACTCCAACTTAAAAAATGATCATCCAGACACCACCCCAAAATATATGTGTTACGTTAGCATCAGGTGTCCACGAGTCACTGTGGGACGAATGGGAGTGTTTAGTTGTCAGTTGAGATCAAGTTGAGGTGTCTAGACATGCACTCTCGAATAGTTGGAGTGCTTACTTGTCTATTGAGGCCAAGTTTGAGTGTTTGTTTATGCATTATGCCTTCTTAACTAACATAAGATTAGCCTGTCAAACATACTGTATTGTTGCTCGAACTCTCCAAAAATACGACATGTAAGCTGATAGCATTTTTGAAGAGTCGGAGCAACATAGATGTTGATGAACATGTTTGTGCACTTATATGATTCTAATATAGTTAACACAGTAAAGTATCAATGAAAAGTAAGGGAAAAAAGGGAAATAGTGAAATTTCTCAAGTAAAAAGAAAGAGTATACTTATGTTAAACAAATGTCAAAATCTGTTGAGAGTTGCTAAATTGATGTGATTGCCAGAATTCCATCTGTCTTCTCTTCACACTCTTTTTTAGTCCTAAAAACAGACTTTAAATATCTGTCCTTTGCTTCATTTTCATCATAAAAACACAGAGTAGTTAAATTCACTTAAAAGATGAAGAGCTATGTGGAATGGTATCCTATCATTATTATGTTGGCGGTAGATTTTGCTTTATCGATTTGTAATATACTTCTCAAGAAGATTATCATGGATGGTATGAACCATTTCGTGTTCATCACTTATCGACAGTCCATTTCAACCGTGTTTTTAGCCCCAATCGCCTTCTTTCTTGAAAGGTATCAAGAATGTTGCTTCCTAATTTTTCGCTTATTTGATGTATTATGTTACTTGTTTTTAGAACTTCTTCACTATTTCTTGATGAAAATCATAATTTTCAGGAATAAAAGGCCTAAACTCACCCTTCAAATCTTGTGCTATCTTTTCTTGAGTGCAATCGTTGGGTAAGTAGAACAAGATTAATATAGTTCATCTGTCATCTTGTGTCCGAGCGTTATCTCAGAAAGTCACCCTTCTTCTTGATTTCTGTTTCGGAGCATTATCTGAGATAATAACAATCATCTGAGAAATCAACTCTTGTGTCGGATCCTCCACAAATGTACTGCTATTGGAGCATATATCCACATTTTTTGAAGAGTTCGAGCAACATAGATGCTATAAGTCCTCTGTCTACTTTTTCCAAAAATTTTAGCACCATAGCTTACGCCTTTTTTTTTCTTTCAGTGCATCGCTTACACAATACTTATTCCTTCTTGGCATACAATACACTTCTGCAACATTTGCATGTGCATTTCTCAACATGGTACCAGTGGTAACATTCCTTATGGCATTACTTTTCGGGTATGTCTGAGTCTCAACGAGTACTAATATAGCTCAAAAGGTTACAAGTTTGTGCGCGTTGCTTTAATCTACGATTATGATAATGATGCAGGTTAGAGACAACTAACATGAAAGATAGAAGTGGAAGAGCCAAAGTTATTGGTACATTAATATGCCTTGGAGGTGCCTTTTTACTGACTTTTTACAAAGGCAAACCTTTAATCAATTTTTCACACTTAAAAGATTTATCTCAAACTTTGGAAGAACCTATCAGCTCCTCTAAAAGAAATGTACAATGGATATTTGGCTCGATGATCTTATTCGCTGGAACTATTTTATGGTCTTCGTGGTTCCTTATTCAAGCGAAAATTGGGAAGAAATATCCATGTCAGTACTCGAGCACGGTTATTATGACCTTTTTCAGTGCCATACAATCAGCTATCTTAACTTTTTCCACTGATAGAACACTTTCCATTTGGATTCCAAAGGAGAAGATCATCGACATGTTGAGTGTCGTTTATACTGTAAGTACATTAAATTTGAGTAATTTGTTTCGTGAGACTGATACATATTACAAATTACCTTCACTATATGTGAAAACAACTACTACGCCTCAGTCTCAAACAAGTTGGAGTTGACAACTATTCGTTCTTGAAAACTTGAATTCTTTTTTAAATGTTGGTTTCAACATGTTTAAATGTATCAAGTTATCAATTGACGTCCACAAACATAAAAGATTATGGTACAATGAATAAGTAGAATGAGGATTTGCACCAGTCAAAAAAAATGTAGTCCTTTTTCTGAAGTGAAAATAGCAAGTCACTTCAAAGTTACTATATGATGAATGATACATTGATTTTCTTACGTCCTTCTATGACTTGTAACGGAATATGATGTCTACTCCATTACTCATGATCGATAAGTTCAAGTTTCTGAGTTAATGACAGAAATGAATTCTTCATGTGTGACAGGGCTTAATAGGCTCAGGACTATGCTTTGTTGGAATGTCGTGGTGTGTTAAGAAGAGGGGACCGGTCTTTACTGCAGCATTCAGTCCTCTTATACAAGTTATGGCAGCCATGTTAGACGTTCCAATTCTACACGAACAACTCCATCTCGGAAGGTGATTCAACATTTCAAAACTTTCCTTTTAGGACTATATATGTTTCAAACTCATTACTAACACATTCTTTCGCGAAATGATGAACATGATCATACAGTGTGGTGGGATCAGTTATTGTAATCGTCGGACTATACTTTTTACTATGGGGCAAGAATAAAGAAATGCAGAAAGTTTCTCAAGAAACTGAAGAGAAAAAGGAAAAAGAGTTAAATTTCCAAGTTCATGAAGCTAATGATGAACCAGAAATACCTTGATATCAGTATTTCAATCTTTTCTTTGAACCAAGTTTCTTTTCTTTTTTCGCGAAAAAAAAAATGTAACTTTTGTTCAGTAAGAAAAAAGTTTGAGAAACTGTCAATTACAATGTTCAAGAATCAAAAATCTATACCTTAATTGGATGTACATAAAAGATTCTTGCACATAAAAAAGATTTATATAGTAGCAAGTTGTAATTATCATTTTGAAAAAATACACATACAATATGCTAGCTGCATTTGTAGTACTTTTGGTCTAAGTCTGCATTAATTCCAAGAAACTTTAGTTTTTTCGAGATAACTTTCTTTCGTGTGATTTTAGGTCTATCTCGTCCCTTTTTAACACCTTTAGTAACGGTATATTTGTAGAGTCGATGCAAGACATGACCAAACCATCTAAAGCGAATAATACTATACAAGAAGAACTTCAAAATACAAGAGATCCAACAAAGTGAAAAAACAGGAAAACATGAAAAAAAAAGTGAAAGAAACAATGCTCAAGTACACTATGATACTTATTCATAACATGGAATAAACTTTTAGCAACTTCCTCACATTTCAGCTTTGTTGAACTTTTATGTTTTCAACTCGTATTTTGAAAGAATTTAAATTCTGAGTCCGCCTCTGTTAGTCTGAATACTGTTTGTTGCCTTTCTTCTCTCCATGTCCTCGTGGTAGCGGCTCGTGGTGTTCAATATCATCATTAATGTCTAAATGAACACCAGGGTCATTAGTACAATAGCTACCACCTAACATGATGGAATTGTTGAGAGATTGAAAATTGCTATTTACATATGTTTTCAACACTTCATTTTCCTCCGATGAATCGTCCTCAATGCCTACTTTCTCCTCCATCTCACCGCGCAAACTAGCTCCCACGTTTGTCCCAGCCAGAGTGATGATCCTGGTGCCATGATCATCGTCATCACTCTGGCTCGAGTCACCTAGTGCAGCCTTATCACGAACATTTTTAAGGCTGCCTAGGCGTTTCGTTAGATCAGAGATCATGTTTTTGATCTCATTATCAGCCATTGCTTATATATTTTTTTTATCAAAAGGGGTAAACAATGAGAGTCTTGACAAGAATTTTGTATGCAATTGGTTTTGGATTTTAAAGACAATGTTGTTTTGAGGGACCAAATATGCCTTACTTATTTGACAATATAAGAATTTCTTCTAAATATTCTTGGAAATTATTAAAAGAAAAAAAATACAAGAAAAGTATTGCTTGTTAAAGGGTTTTGTTATCTATTCTTCAAGGCGATTTTTACGAATTTTAAGTCAGATACGCGTACTATGTCAAGAGAAAAAACTTACTTATGTTTAGGGTTACACCAATAATAGAATGTCATGCATATGGTATATACATGTATACAATCACTTTAATTTATCGTATAACCTTGATAAATTAATTAACGTCGTTTGATGTGAACATCGACGACATTAAATAGATGAAAGAAAAGGATGTGAACCTTTGGATAAAATAAGTCATTTCTTTTATTTTTCATCTGATGTTTAGTATTCATACCACGACCTCATTTAATTTGAATTTACGTTATAAGTCGTGAGACAATATTATAAGATTATTGTTTTAGGAACAAAAACACATGCTAAAACAGTAACACAATGTGTGTACCTAGACAATATATTTAAACAAGAGATATGATGATTTGGTGTCCAATGGATGCATCTTACTTTAGCATCTTTATTTAACTTTATGTTATTGGTTTCTAAGTTTCCTACTTCTTATAAGTTTGATAATATATTTATTTCATCTGTGGTGCATTAAATTAATTTATTTTATTCTATTTGAAATAGTGTTTTCTTCCATTCGTAATATCGCATCTATAATATCTATGGTACCTCGACTTGATTTATTCTTATTCACCCTAAATTTGCTCTAGTTAAATATAAAATATCACAAAAACTTATAATACGATAATCGAAATATTAGGAATGAAAATTCATTGCATATGTTGGTAGCTTAAATGGGCTGATTAACACATGAGACATTGGGCCAAAACTTGGAATGAAATCATGGGCCTGTACTACAACAATTAGCCCAAATGGTTTTCACTTCCACGTGAACTTTAAGCTCCCGTTTGATAATAGATTTTAAACTTGAAATTTAAAAATTCGTTTGACGTGAAATCGTTTATTCGTTGATTTATGATAAGAAAATGTAGAGTTATATGTCTCAAAACGTATTTTTATCTCAATTGATCAATATGAGTTATGATAAATCGAAAAATACTGATTCATTTTTGTATTAAAGGTCTCGACTTGTCTTTATTAGAAGTATTTTATCTCTAATATAAAATTTTATCGCTTGTCAAATTTTGTTGGTTCCAATATAGATATATTTGTTTTTTTTTCTAAAAAAAGAAAATAAATAAAGGAAAAAACAAAAGGTGATAATAGAAAGTTATAAATATCTTAAATCTTCTAAAAGGTGTTGGAGAAGGATGGGTGGAGGTAGAGGCATAAAATCTTTTCTCCATAATTTTTGTGGGGCATATAAATCTTATTATTAATAGTGATATGAATAGGAAAATATACATTGTAATTTAATTTTTTTGAAAAATTATTTTTCTTTCTTGATACTAATTATTACTATAGTGTTAAGCAAAAACATAAAGGTAAAATGGTTGAAAAAATCTTTTAATTAAATATTTACGTAATGAGTGTGTAAAAAAGTAATAAGATAGATAATCTAAAAATATATGAATATTAGATCAAGATACAAATGATGATAATCTAATTTCACAAACTGTTTTTAGTTAAATATTTTCTCAAAAAGAGCATAAAAGAAAAATACTACAAATAATTTGAGATAGAGAAGTTGTACAACAACTTATTAAGGGGGAAATGTGATAAAATAAAAATGGAATATTATAGAGAGAAATAAATTACCTAGTCTTAACGACCTAATCAAGACCCTTTATTCTGAACTAAAAAATTAAAATCAATCAAATCTTTTCAAGTAAAATTTGAATACAATGGCTAAGCCAAATTTTCATTAAAAAAAAAGTAAACACGTAAATAAGTTTAGGAATTCAACATTTACAGTACATACGTACAAAAATAATTTTAACTTTATATACCTTTCCTAATTTTTCGTCAAAGAGAATTTAAATGAAAACTTTATCACTGTCTCATTTCGCCCCTATTTGAACCTACAACCCATCAACAACTAGAAACAACATGAAAATTGATCTCACAAAATTCAATTGATACATACGAACTCGAAGCTTCCTTCAAGATATAATACTATTTTTGAAATATTCGACACGAGCTCAAAAAAGGAAAGAGGAGTCCAAAAGTAGAGAAACTCCTTTTTTTCTTCTTCTCTTTTTTTTTTCATCAATCAAAATCAAGCTACTGTAACAAATTTACCACCATTGATGAAGTGAAGTGGAGTGAATCTCTTATATACAGAATTTTGACTTTTTTTCCCTCTCCATAAACGTCATCCATAGAAATTTTCTCCAATCGAGCCGCCCCATTTTTGTATTATTTTTTTTTCCATTTAATAAACGCTTCTTCACCATCCAAAATATCAGAAACTTCTTTTCATTTCTGATTGTTCCATTTCAGCTTCTGAGTGTTTTTCTTATCTGGGTTTTAGGCTTTTTAGCATTGAGGATTCAAGAAAAAGGTTAGTTTTTTTTTTGTTTCAATTTTGTACTGATTTTGGTTAATTTATCAGTTGTTTTCAGTTTTTGAGTTGATGGGGTTAGTGTAAATTTGCTTGTTTTTTGATTCATAAGAGATTAGATTTGTGGGATGAATTGATTTTGGATTGTTCATAGTGTCTTGGGATGTATAATCTTGAAAATGGTGAATTCTCTGAAAAAGATTTGCTTTTTATGGCATTTAGTGTTTTGCATCCTAGTGTGGTCATATCGAGGTGTGTACAAAGTTTACTTTTCAACAGGAGATTTTGGATTGTTAACAGTATATTGGGGTATATAATGAAATGATGAATTTCTCTAAAAAAGATTTGTTCTTTATGACATTTAGTGTTTTGCTTATTAGTAATGGTAGAGTTGCTCTTTTAGTGATATGCTGGTCCGCGAGTTAGATGTTTAAACAACCTCTTATCTAAATGGAACGGGAAGTTTACTTTCATCTGCTGTTGTGCTGGCGAGAATTTGTTGGTACTATGTGAATTAGTTGAGGTACGGGCAAGCTGGTACGGACACCTCGGAGAAAAAAGGAGAAGAAGAAGAGAGAGAATGAAATTGTTTTCTTTAGTTTTAGGCGCTGTCGATCTCAATATAGAAGCTCTTAATTCTCAGTATGTGGGATGACTTGGCTATATGAACCCATTTTCTATTCAATTTCATAAATCCCAATAAGCCATCTTAGTTCCCAACTCTTAACCAAATATATAGCAGAGGTCTAGAGAAAGCTGCAAGCAATAGGATTCACCAATCCTCCCTTTCCTATAGAAAAGAGCATGATGGCTATTTGGAAGGATTTAAAAGTTGTAGTGATGCATGTATGTTTCTATATGCTTTCACATTTTTGGTTTGATTGAGGAGGGTGTTGAGGTTGAGGATTCCGGTCGAAGATTAGTAGTAAAAAGTTTCTCGTCTTGTCTCTCCTACTAGCAGTATTAGTATTATTTTAATATTTTTATTATTTTACTTTTTCCATATTTCTCATTCATAGTAATCTATTACTACTTGTTATCCCTTATGGCTCTATTTTCTTACTATCATGTTGTTATTTCTTCTTATGTCTTCATAGATGTTGTCTTTTTCCTTTCCTTGAGCCGAGGGTATATCGAAAACAACCTCTTTACCTGCCAAGGCAAGGGTATGACTGTATTATTAGGAATAGTTCTGCAAAGTCGTGTTATTTGAAAACTTCTTCTAGCCATTTTAGTTGAGAGTTTTCCCATCACACAATTAAGGATAAGCCAAGCGAGGTTATTTTACTTGTTATATTGCCCTTTCAATCTTTTTTTTTCAAAATACTTGTTGATGTATATTTTCTACCTGATTAATTTCTACTTCATGAAATATTATCTGAATTCTCTCCTTGGTAAGGATAAGAAAAGCTGGAGTTCTTTTTTTGTTGACCAGCTGCTTTGTCCGTCCAGGGTGCAATCATTTGTCTAACAATTCAAAAGTAGTTGAGAATGTATGGTAATGATATCATGAAGATTCTTGCCATACATATTCACGTCAAATAAAAACTGTATTTGCCATAATACTAGCATAGTACTGTTAGTATGGCAACTGATGGAGATTGTTGACTTGTTTCTAGGCACAAATGATGGGTGGACAATCAAAATCTGATTCAGGGGGCCAAATCAAAATAAGTTTTGGATATCATTGTAATAACAGCACAGATGATTCTGGTGAGGAATCAGATGGTATTGACGTGCGTCCTGGAAGTAAACTTCGAAGAGCCAACAGTTCCTTCTCTTGCCTGTCTGGGGCAGCTCTAAGTGCCAATGCCACACTAGCT